GACCGATGTCACGATAGACCGGACCGAAGCAACGATTCAATAAGTCGGGACCATGGAGGGCTTGACCGGGACCGTGAAGCACATCACACCTCCGGCACCAGACGAGTCCTAAGCGATGACGTCAGATCCGTGCAGCGATGACGTCATGCAGGGAGCTGCAGTCAATTATTTTAGAGCACAACAGAGAGCCACGCACATAACACCAGCAGCATCTGCACATACAACACCAGCACCATCTGCACATACAACACCAGCAGCATCTGCACATACAACACCAGCACCATCTGCACATACAACACCAGCAGCATCTGCACATACAACACCTGCAGCATCTGCACATAACACCTGCAGCATCTGCACATATGCAGCCGCGGCATATAATATAACAAAATCGTTAAGTGATTTAAGTTATTGCAAAATAAACACAAAAAAATTGTTTCCATGGACGTTGGGTTGACATCTCAAAACTTGACAAAAGAAATTGAAATCGGGCTTTCCTTCAATGTTGTTAGGACAAAAGCAGCGAGATTTGCAGTGGCGGCTCGTCGCTCTAAACCAAGAAGACAACAACACAGAGATTGTCTTAGAGCTGCCAAGAATCTTTCTCTCTGCTTTGTAGAAACATTCGTGATACTTTCTTTCACGGCCGTATGCTCTCAAACATGTCTTTGTGTGCGTATTTCTTCAGTGTAATCCGCGGCCGTATGCTCCCAAACTTGTCTTTGTGTGCGTATTTCTTTAGTATAATACGCTACTGCATGCTCCCAAACATGTCTTTGTGTGCGTATTTCTTCAGTATAATACACGGCCGTATGCTCCCAAACTTGTCTTTGTGTGCGTATTTCTTCAGTATAATACGCGGCCGTATGCTCCCAAACTTGTCTTTGTGTGCGTATTTCTTCAGTATAATACGCGGCCGTATGCTCCCAACTTGTCTTTGTGTGCGTATTTCTTCGGTATAATCAAGATCGAATAACAAAATTTCAATTTTGAGAATATCCCGCTAGGTCAAAATACTTTAAACATAAAATCATTCACAAATAAACTTGGGGATGTGGTTTATGTTGCCAACTCAATCCAGTCTTAGCACATTTTATCAAATGCGTTGCAACCAAGCCAATGCAGTTGAGTCGAGTCGTTCTCGACCTACATATAGTCATCCTTTTCGTAGTAACGCAACGACTGGCAAGTATTCTACCGGAGTCCCAGCTTTTGTTCATGAAGTTTGTGTCGTCCACAAACAGGGCTCAAGAAGTTGCATCAAGAGAACCAAACTTCGTGGGTGTTTGGTTAACAGAAAGTAAATAAGACAGCGATTCTAAGGCGTCAGGTAAAGAGCCAAGTGCTATTCGTGTGTCTCACGCAGCTATAAACTGCAGAACTGCAGGAAAATGTAACATTCGTAAACGATGCCCGGGAAATTCTTCCACGAATTTTTTTATTGAGGCGTCGTTTTAGCCAAACAATACGTCTTTAGCTTCTGCCATCGCAGTACAGCGGAGTGTTACACGCTAGATATGCAGTGTACTCACTGGTGTCATGAGTGTACTCAGTGTACTCATACATGACACGTGTGTATCCTTAGTATGTGTATCCTTGGCATGTGTATCCTTAGCATGTGTATCCTAAGTATGTGTATCCTCAGTATGTGTATCCTTAGTATGTGTATCCTTAGTATGTGTATCCTTAGTATGTGTATCCTTAGTATGTGTATCCTTAGTATGTGTATTATTATTATTATTATTATTATTCCACGAAGAGATTGTCGTGGCGTCTCGTTCAGATCGAACTTCGAGGGCACTTTACATCCCTGTAACGTGCCCTCGTGTGTATCCTTGGTATGTGTACCCTTAGTATGCGTTTAGGACACAGCAGTGCCACTCAACGCTGGATCGCCTCAGTATTCCAACGCCCTCAGCTGCGGCAGGCAAGTCGTCCTCATAACCAAGGCGCCAGTCTGTAATTACCGCGAACGTGCAACTGCCCTCAGTTGTACCAGCTGAAGATACACTGTACAGTACACTGCGTATGCGTCATTACAGTAGGACGGTGCGACACAATGCAGTTTACACAGCGTTTAGTTCCTTGCAGGGTGTGGGACAGGTGCAGGATGTTAATGACATCAACGAAGTAGGAACCACAGGCACGCTGGTGACAAGGAAGGTTGGCACCACAGGTGCGCTGGTGACAAAATTGAACAACAGAATACATCCCTGCGATCCTTCTGCTGTTTTTAGACGACCTTGACGTACTAGAAACATTATTTAAATAATTGAACAGGAGACAAAACAGTTCTTGCCACCGCCTCCTGCATGAGGATCGTTAACAGCGACCTTGATCGTTAACAGCGATCTTGATCGTTAACAGCGGCCTTGATCGTTAACAGCGACCTTGATCGTTAACAGCGGCCTTGATCGTTAACAGCGACCTTGATCGTTAACAGCGACCTTGATCGTTAACAGCGANATCATCATAGCCCCTAACCCTTACGATCATCATAGCCCCTAACCCTTCAGATCAACATAGCCCTGCAATCGTAGTTGCTCTAACAATCGTCATAACATCAAGGATAAACTTAATCCTCACGGCCAAAGTAGACTTGATAGTGAAAGAAGCACTGAAGTTCATCATAATTACGGTAATTACATAGATAATTATTTTCTGACAAACGCTGATTGTGCAGAGTCAGGGCTTGTAAAATTCCCTGCAAAGTCCGGCAGCTTTTTACAAACGCAAACAGGACAAAAACAGAATACGCTTCCCACTTGAATTCTGGACAAGAAAGAAAATAAACTGACCAATCCATGACATCGAAAATGGAAGTTATAATATAAGATAAGTACAAGATCACACATCAGTAGCTTAGTAGCCATTTGTGTCTACTAAGTAGTGCCTTTTTTGCACGCACATATTCGCATTCTTATGGTCTTAGTAAAAAAACTAAACAACTCGTGGAGACACGGGGAAAACCTGGTCAGATTATACACAATTTACGCGGAATTCATTGACGTCAACCGCAATTGAAATACCGAGCAGAGTATAAAATGTGATAATAATAATATAGCGGTTTCAGCGTTTATTAGGCCGTAGGCTTGTCGCTGATTCTTAACATTCTTAACATCGCAGAACAATGTTAATGCATCGCAATTGTTGCATCGCAGCTTGCATCGATACCGCAATTGTTGCATCGAGACCGCAATGCATCGCAGCTTGTTGCGGTCTCGTACACGCAACTCACTGCCCCAGTACTGCTATGCCTAACCGCCCGGATTCCTCCCCGATTCTGCCCAGATGGCGCACTGAGCTGGGATCGAACCCGCAGCTCTCTGCTCCGGTCTTGGTACTAACTTTAACACTCTAACCACTTTAACCCTGACCTTAAGTTATAGAGATGGCAATTAGAAGAACCGGCCAAGGCTCAGTTACATCGACTCGCTATCATCACACAATGTTTAGCGTTAGTAAACATGAATTACTTTGATGATATATTGTATATAATGTAAATGACCGATGCATTGTATAGACTATCATTTTCGGCTCTGATGGCAATATATTGCGTTACGAGATTACTTTACGTTATAATACTTAATTATAAGCTAAAGGAAGCTTATAATATACTTAATATATACTTAATACATTAGACAAATACTTAATATACTTAATACATTAGACAAATGAAAATTTTTTGCTTTTACCTACAATGTTTCGAACACTTAATTACAATTAGTCCTGCGGATAAAAATTACTATAGTACGAAGAAAACACAGCGTATACGGCCGTTTTTAGCGTATATTCTAGTGTAGATCCCTGCTTTTTTTCACGTAATATTTTTCAAATTAAATCACAATTTCTACCGTAAAATCTTGTTAAGATCAAAGTTTATTGCGTACCGTCTAATATGGATCACAAATTCTAGAGTAAACTATATCTTAGATCACAGTTTCTGGCTTAAAATATATTAAAGATCATTCTTGCTTAAAGGATGACCGTCAATATATAGAAACTAATCCACATTTTTTGCGTAAAAATAACTTTGCAGATAATGTACCTATAATTTTACAAAGGAATGAGAAGTAGAAATTACTAGCATTAATCTGAAAAGAAGAAATATACAGAGGTAATTTCGATAAATGATACACAAGAAATGCGTTTGTATATATAAAAGGAAGCCAGAAGTTTAATAATTTCCACACATTCAAAACATTTCAGTTCATGGAGAGCGGTTATTGAGTGTGATTATCAGAGTCCTCATGAACGAAATCTCGTAGTGAGTTATTAATTATCGGTTTTAAATGAATTGTAAACAAATTTCTCTGCTTCACCACAATTTGCAGGTAAATGTGGCAGAGCCTTGTAGAATTAGAGATGAATATTGCCAGAAGACAATTTTTGTACGGGTGGTCAAAATTGTTAACACTAGAGTTAGCTGTAGCGAAGTTTATGCTTGTATGATGATTTATTTTTACCCTATAATAATAAAAAGACGTCTAAAATTCATGGTAAATTTAACGGTGAATTATATATTTTAAATGTCGTTTAAATTTATGCATTTTTTAAAACTTTAGCACCAACTTAATGAAGTCAGCTATCACTCGCTCGAGATGCAAAACAATGTAGACAAAACCGCAAAGAAAAAATATTTCAGTAATATTCATGTACTGTTCTCTTCCTGTCATCATCGAAAATTAATTACTTTCATTTAATCTTACAGCATAAGATTAAAACGTAGATGTCTGAGTAGCCTACCTAATTCGTGCCACTGGCTTATTGCTTCTTCATTGTTAGTAACGATAAAAAAAAGACAAAAAAAGGTGGTTTAAAGAGATGATATTTTGTATGAGCAATGAAAATTTGTAGTTAATACGGATGAAGCATCAAAACACAAACTATTTCAATCTTGCAGCAAAATTAAGTGTATGGGCATACTGCCACACGACCGTACATCACTGAGCGCGCACCAGCATGGGTCAGCGTGAAATGAGTTCATCGTTGCTTCTTACCTCGTCCCATTTGACGAAGGTTTCCCCATCCTGTAGAGCTTGGGGCACGTGAATCGGCTTGAGCTGTAGCTTATGCACTCCGGGCTTTGCCCCTGCCATACTTATGAGGCAGGAGCAGCAGCCAAACGAACACTGCTTCACTAAATTTTAATATCAATGAGCACTGATAGTTGAGAAGGGGACGATCGGGCGGCACTGAGCAGCATATACACCATACACCTCACACCATCATGGCACCAGCCTTACTGCTGAGGCAAGGCAATGGCAAAGTTGCACTCGCCTAGTGTGAAGCTGCCTGACTGCCAGAGTGGCTGATTACTCCTGCGACTGGCGGAGTGGCTGACTTAGGACTTGCTCAACTGGCTGATTACTGCTCAGCTCAGCATGCAGACGGTGGTAATACTTCTTGTTCAGCTGGCTGATGACTCAAGGAGCTACTTAGTGAGTTGTCTTGTGAGCGTCAGTTCTGAAAAGATCTGGTCAAAAATCCAGTTCTTTGATATCCTGTGAACAAGTCACGATATGTACACTGGCTTATTTTCTTCAGTACCGACACAACTACAAAACCATAGGTATTGCTGAGTGGCACCAGTATTTGTCCTGACATTTCGATTTTGAGCTTCAAAGGCAACCAAGAAATATCCTCGAATCATCGGTGATTCATTGTCAACAGCATGGAACTTTCAATATTATTATTTAATAAAATAGTCTCAAGGTTTCCGAAGACGAGACTACCTACCAATAATGGAGTGTAATCAAATAAAATTATAGCAATTGGAATAACTAATCAAGGCAATCACACCCAATCACTTGTAGCAATGATACGAGAATCGGTATATGAGAATGCATTGTTTGACAAACAATCACATAATATAATAATAATATAGCGGTTTCAGCGTTTATTAGGCCGTAGGCCTGTCGCCGATTCTTAACATCGCAGAACATTCACAGCATTTCGCGGTCTTGAACTCGCAACGCACTGCTACAATTCTGCTATGCTTAACCGCCCGGCCTCCTTGCCGATTCTGACCAGAAACTGGCGCACAGAGCTGGGATCGAACCCACGCCTCTCTGCTCCAATCTTGGTACTCTGAACTGTAACCACTGTATATTTACTGTAACCACATGATATTTAATTATTCGTTTAACTGTTTTACTAGTTTTTTTATTGTGCTAAACCTCACATGAAAAAATGGTAATCTCTTTTTCTCGTACCATATAATCGAATTTTTTCAAATATGGCACTTCCTCAATTGAAATTATTTCGAAAAGGTTCCTCCCTAACCAACGGCTCTATTCTTTGTTCAATTCTTTATACTAAAAGCATCAATCTTATAACGACCGCAGCAGCAACACACACACGAAGCCTAAACTAATAGAAAAAAAAATAATAATATAAAATTCATGTATATTTCTCTACCGGTGAGTTATATTCAGGCTTCACATCAATACACGAATTTTACTACTCTGTCTCCACGGATCATGGAGATAATCTATCAATTCATTATTCTCAGTCCAATTGAGTTTAATCAGCCCTACATTAATTGCTACGAGTCAATTCTATTAAGTGATATAAACCAGAAGATCTCGCAGGTGGATCACAGCCCAAGTACTATAGACGTCAGAAGTTATCCGAGATGAAGTTAACGGATGTATAGACGCTGCCACCCTGGTTGCCTACGCCGAGACAGAACCACAGGCAACATTAAATTGTGTAGCGTGCTATTGCTGTAAGTCACGTTGCTGAAAAGTGGTGATCCTGATAGGTACGATGATGCTGATAGGAGTGATGAAGATGTTGAAAAACTAATAAGAAAATTGTCAATTAAACAGATTCACTTGTTTTCAATGAAATCTGCTTACATGTATATATTTGCATCATTCAGCACGGAGCAGCACATTGCGAGCAATGGACGCACAGAAGCGCTTGTGCCGACGTCGCTTTCTAATTTAACAACGCCTGATGATCGAGTCCCTCAGCAATTGACAAGCAACAGCATCTTGCATCAGCTGGCCCAAAGGAGGGCAAATAGACGGAACACGTCCAACGTTACATCCGGGACTCGAGGGCGGGGTGACCTGCCTGACGACGACTCGGAGACGGAGGACGACGAAGGCGGCGCATCAGCGTGACCGTGGACTAGCAAGTCCTAAACTCATCACAAGGTCATAACGTAAGTCCCGAAATCGTCGGTCTAGAAATTGCGGCCTCGGGGTTCTCCATTCGAAGTTCTTACGTACATTTTGAAAATGTGGCCTAATTTCAAGTTGTATTTTGATCGTAAGTTATAGAATATTTAACGAATGCACATTAGGAGATCTCATAATTAACGGGCTTAGCATAAAATTACAATTTGTTGAATCGTATTTCGTAAGCAAAAAGTAACACCGTCGATGGAACATTTTATAAGATTGCCAATGTACGGAATTCACTGCACAGCACAATGCAGTTGAAACGCAATGAAAGCTGATGTCACCTCACATAGCTTCAGCGACAAGATCTAGATTTCAAAATTCAATAAGAGGCGGAGGAGACCAAGTGGAGGCAGTAAATGGAATGTCCAGTAGGAAACCTAAAAATTCTCTTAGGGGTTACCGGGTAACTCTTCTAATCAGACTTACAATTTTATTTTAACTTAACTTAAGCAGGTTCTGGTACGCACAGCTGCAGTAGCATCACTGGTAACAGCGCTTGCACTTGCATAAGCGATACTCGATGATTATTCGGCGCTTATTAATTCCAAAGCCAATGCAAAGTAATTAACGATTGAACCGGCACGAAAAATAGGATAGAGACAGGAGAGTTCTTAAAAAAGATTTTATTCTTGTACAAAAACCTAAGGGCTACATTCAGGCATGCGCACATCATGCATTCTCAGTCTGAAGTGTGCGAATTAACAGCAATAGAACATATTCAATTTATAGTAGTTTAATACAAACACTTGTTTTCACCTTCTCGCTTGGGAAATTACGAGGGAATTTAAGTGTGCTGCATCGAAAATCCTTTCAGCGTACAGAATCTTCATTACACTCATTAAACTTCGTGAGTTTAAATTAACATTTTAAAGAGGCTAAGCGTCACGGAGATAGTGAACACATCCTCGGAGGGCTGCTGAAGCGAGTGTGAACACAGTGTGGGTATGTAGTAACATTCAACATGACCCCATGTTTAAGAACTTTCCCGCTTCACCATAATCAACCGTTCAAAAACATTTCTGCTGTAACGCGTGAAGGCAGACTCTTGCACTGCCATGAGAACAGGGCAGCAAGGTTAGGTCATACAACGCTGTACAAGTCAAGTCCCACCAAGTATAATTGTGCATTCGATTTAAAATGAGCTAACTAAAATCTTTTCTTGCAGACGGTTGCTGAGCTCTTGTTTAATTCAACACTCAGAACACTGAGGCTAGAGGCAAGATATTGTATTATAAAGAGCCTCACTAATGAAATAAACGAATTGCATAAAAATTGGAACGCGACAGAACTTGTAAACTAATTATTGTTGAACTTAACACACAAAAGAGAACTTTGGAGCAAGCGATACATCAAGCACGTCTGAGAACAGCGAACAAGGGAATACCTGGACAAGGCATCAGGGCAAGCAAGGAATGTCTTCACACGGTATTTATATTAAACATATTTATACCAAGAGTCTCAGTCACACGGAGCACAATACCAAGCACTCTCGTACACAGGCAGGCACGCTACAATATACTTACAGATTTGCAGGATAGACCAAGATACCGTCTTAAAATTAGGCGTGAAGTCTGATTGCTCAGTGATACCAACGACGAATTTTCTGAACAGAGTCGATATTGAAGATAAAAATTTGCTGCATATCAAGAATATCGCGCGCAGCTGACACACGAGCACAGGATATAATTTTTTACTTGATTTTGCGCATTTTAACGTAAGAGTATCGAAGGCAAAAATGTTTTCTGAATTACATTTATAGCAATCATAACAGTCGAAATTATGTTGCTATTACTTGTAGTTTGGTACATGCTTCCTAAAATTAACATTTAATCTTCAACAAATCCTCAATATAAACCAGGAGCTGGAAATGGAGAAAAAGGATGAAGTTATCTGGCAAGAAGATTAAAAACTGTCGTTAAAAAATGAACAGTTGTCTCGAAAGAAATAAAAAATTGAATTCAAGAGTAAGTTCGTTCCAGGCAGGACGCATAAGAGCACCTCTATATACTCGAAGTCTAAAAAGTGCTGGAATTTTAAGCAACGTAAATCAAATTTGATCAGAACACCTTGGCACTGAAGATATACTAAACGGCAACGTTTTCAGACTCGGCAGCACCCTTTACTTATATCAATGACAGTCAGAGCCTGAACATGAACCCTCTACAAAAATGAGACGTGAATCCCATTTAGTGACCTGCACGACACTGCATCAAGAAAAGTACAGATCATAATTAGTGGGGGCAAAGACCTCAGAATATACTGAGTGTGGATCAAAGTATGCAGCACATGGGATGATGTAATGGCCGAGGCGTACATATTTTTGTTCATATAAATAATTTTTTTTCTGGGAAGCGAAGGCGCACCAAACAATGTACAAGAGAACACCAAAACAATGATTCATTCGCCTCAGAATGACAAGTTCACAATTATATGCGACAGTGAAGTCCATTAAAAATCTTAGCTTTCAGAGCAATACTACGCATGAAGACTGAAGGAAATTTCATATAAGAACATTGAAAATCATGAATTGCGAACGTTACTGTTCAGACAATAACTTTGATGATATGGAAAAATATTCAAAAGCAAGAAAAAAAAAACAAACCATTTGGACAAGGTTACATTTAATTTTTCAAGTGACGTTCTCAGCCATCGCATAAAAATTATTTCAAATGCGACGTGATTGCAATTAAGATGAGGGGGAAAAACTTGCAGCACAGCACTTAAATTACTTAGTTCCACTGGAGATATTGACCAATAATATTGATATAACCTTCAGCCCGTACAGTTGAGAATATTCACACCTATGCATTAACCGCATACTCTAATTTGGATGGATGATACATGGTTTCTTGGGGCATGGGTGCCTCCAAACGATTTTATTATAGAGTGCATTTTATTTTACAGCAGCTTTGACGCACTCGACTTATAGAACATTGAAGCAAGACAGCGTCAAGACGAACAGACTTAGCGCTACATACGTTTGAGCATAACTAAAATGAGTAGCCGAGCCTTGCATAAATAAAAGAAGATAATTACAAACCAATATTATTATTCTCTTTTGTATAATCAGGAAGAAAGCTCCGCATGAGAACGCAGAGAAGAGACGAGGGGCGTGACGTGACTGATGACGTCGCATTACACTCTGGAACACAACGAGCCGTTAGGGGGTGACAGGTGAGTGTGGAGGGTGAACGGGGGGGTGAGTGTGGAGGGTGAACAAAGGGGTGAGTGGAGGGCGAACAGAGGGGTGAGTGGAGGGTGAACAGAGGGGTGAGTGTGAAGGGTGAACAGAGGGGTGAGTGGAGGGTGAACAGAGGGGTGAGTGTGGAGGGTGAACAGAGGGGTGAGTGTGGAAGGTGAACAGAGGGGTGAGAGGAGGGTGAACAGAGGGGTGAGTGTGGAGGGTGAACAGAGGGGTGAGTGTGGAAGTGAGTGGAGGGTGAACAGAGCAGTGAGTGGAGGGTGAACAGAGCGGTGATTGGATGGTGAACAGAGAGGTGAGTAGATGTGACTGGATGGTGAACAGAAAGGCGAGGGGAGCGTGATCGGATGGTAACAGATGGGTGAGCATGTAGTAGACAGAAGAGCTGTAAGGGGGTGGTGTACAGTAGTCTGAATGCAGATTAAGTCCCTTTATTGATTCCACGAGAAGTTTGTTAACCTTCAATTCTATGTAGCACCATTTGAGGACCATTTACACACAATATTAATACCAGTAAATGTATGAACACATACCTAATAATTGTAGAAGTTCAGTTTGCAAGAAAACCCTCTAATGAAAATTCCAAATACATAATAACTGACACATTTTCACAATTACTACATTCTTTAGCCTCTACCATCAATCGTAAGCAAAAAAAGCTTGAATTACAAATTTTAATAAATGATATTAGGAGCAGTCACCATGGAATGGCAATAAAAAAAATTTGGTGCTCAAATCTTGACAAGAGAATAACTTCACTCAGAATAAGAGAACATATAATTATGAAAAAGAGCAAAAACATAGGTTTCCTCCAGTTCAACGTATAATAATAATAAACGAGAACAAAAACCTAGATTTCGTCCAGTTCATTACAAGACAGTGACACAAGAGACCTCACCACAGGTTTCTTCAACGATCTTGGCGGTCATTCTGGTTGACTTCCGCTAATCCCTTAACTTTGAGCCTCTCGGCCGTCTTAAGGAAAGCCGGCAACTCAGCTTGTGCCACGTTCACCTCTCCAGCATACCTGCAGAATTATTAGTACTTATTAATATAAATTACTGTTCTAGATCACTGTTACACAGGCTCATATGAATCTGCTATTATTTTTCAAAAATCTGAAGTCTTATAGGTATTACTATCAGAGGCAAAAAACGTTTACATTCAATTTGTTATCCATATCATATATACATGTACATGGATGGAGGTTACGACATATACATGTACAAGGATGGAGGTTACGACATATACATGTACATGGATGGAGGTTACGACATATACATGTACAAGGATGGAGGTTACGACATATACATGTACATGGATGGAGGTTACAACATATACATATACAAGGATGGAGGTTATGACTTATATACATGTACAAGGATGGAGGTTATGACTTATACATGTACAAGGATGAAGGTTACGACTTATATACATGTACAAGGATGGAGGTTATGACTTATATACATGTAAAAGGATGGATGTACCAAACTTACATGTACTCAAGGATGGACGTGAGATGATTGAAAGGCACATCTTTGAGGATGATGATTGGATGTTTGCTGGGATTTTCCTGCAAAATAGTCAACTGAAAAATTAAGAAATGTTGAAAACTGATCAAGCAGACCAGTTCAACATTAAGGATTTTGTTAAGAGCTCTGCACAACCATGCATTATAATCCTAATTTGCTAAATTCACAACCTTACTTTTTGAGAGTAAACACAAATAATTCAATTCAACAACATTTGGCAATACTCTTGTAATGACTTCTGTGTCACAATATGTCCCTGCTAGCATCTCATGAATATGCTGCAACATCATGAACATTTTAAGGAATAAAATATTTTTATGGGAAGTTCCTCGTAAAACTTACACTTTCATTGTATATATACATACAAAAATTGCACAGCTCAATTTAAATTAATCAGTTATGGATGTGATTACCAACCTCCAATAAAGCCTTGAAATAAGGAGAGCAAGCTGACAAGACCATTTTGTGAGCTTTGCAGGTCTGCCCATCGCAGGCAAGCGTGACGTCTGTGAAGCTTTTCTCCTCCCGCAGATGCCTGAATGAGGATACCATATTGCTCTGGAACTCATTCCACCTCAAACAAAACTGTTGATCATCACTCATGGCTGCAACTATTTTTATACACTAGTTCTCAACTGAAAAAAAATTAGAGTATTAGCAATCTTAAATGGTTTTCCCTAACTGTGACAAATCAAGTGTTCTAGTATATTATATTTATAGATAATCTAATGCAAATGCTCTGAGGCAATTACAAAATTGCCTCAGAGATCTGTATTGTATCAACATAGTAACATACTATAAGCATTAGCTTATAGAATCAAAAAATTTCACACAGCCACAAATGGCAAGTCATTTACTTGTATTCATGAAACATGACCATTTGTAATCAAGAATATTCTGTTTGTTTTCTTATCTGCAGAATATGCATCAGCAAGCATTTAATATGATTGTAGTCTTCACAATATGTACATATAGAATATGATTCATCCATCTCCCAACTCATTCACTGTCATACTATTTTTGAATGACAGCTTAATAACTTTCAAGATCCCTTTTCTGATTTCAATTATTTTGATTTGATTAATGTCATCAGTATATATTTCAAATGAATGTATAAAATGTTTTGATAGGCATCAGTTGCAACATTCAATTTTCAATAATGCCCATGAGCCTGTATGGACTATGGATTAGACTTGAGAAGTGTATATAATTATAAGTGACTGCAGTTATTAATACTTATTAAACGAATCCAAGAGACGAGAAAGGAGCAATGAATTGGCATATTTGCTGACAAGTGACAGGTATGATATTTTAAGGGGAGCGTCATGGTAAAAAAAAAACTTTTATTTACAGATGGATCATTTTGAAATTATGTACACATGTGTAAAAAAGACATTTTGTTCAAAGTAAATCTAAGACTTTTCGTTCAAGTAAATTTTTTGCAAAAAAGTAAAAATAAAAAAAAACATGAAATTCATTAGATATTGGCAAAAAAAGGGGTATACTGTAGAAATCTATCTCCCAGGATTTTCAAGCTACAACATAAACACAAATATCATTCAATATGTAAAGACCATAAATATCTAGCGATTTGTTATAGCGTTTTTCAAAATTTCTTATTTTTGTGAGTGGGGTGAATTTTGTCTGCATTTTCAATCTATAACGAAATTACAAAAAAGCTATGACTATTCTAAAGGTACTTTCTTTTCAAATCGAATGGTATATCTTCCACTGCTCTAGCTTGAAACTCATAGGAGGAGGTAGGTTTTTAAGATTTAAATTTAACTTTTCAGGAGAGCCAAAAAACTGAAATTTCTGATCATTGAAGGTATAGGTTTTACTTGCGCTTTGACGGCTGTCATGAACAAAAATGAACATACAAATATGGCTTTGGGCTCTTTAGATGCGCAATTTCTGGACCTGTAAAATGATACTAATGACCGGGAAAAGCCAAAATTTTCCTTTTTTTACTAAGTTGCTCTCCCTAAAGAAATCACATAATTTCTACTTTCCTAATCTACCTCCTCAATATTTTATTCAATATCTTCCAATGACCTACCAGTTAATTTCTATTTTCCTGATTTACTTCAATATTTAATTCAATATATTTCACTGATCTACCAGTTAATTTTTACGTTCCAGATCTGCTTCAATATTTTCTTCAATATACCGGTATTTCAATGATAATGCTGGTATCTAGTAAGGAAAATGTTGACCATCAAATGGGGTACCTAATAAGGGATGGTTTTGAGAATTTTTTATTAACAACTTCTTACCATGAATGTTTCGTAAACAAGTTTGGACTCATTTTAAAGCCCTTTGCAAATGTTATTGTATGGCTATCTCCCAAAAATTTTATATGCCATATGTAAGGTGCTAGACGCAAAATAAAAGTGTCTGGAATTACCCTTGGAACGGGGTAATACAGAACACTTGAAATAAAACTCAATTTTAAAACATTTGAAGCACAACAACATCAACATCAAACAACATTTGAAGTACTTATCCATTACTAACAGTACTCTGAAGTCCTACACTTCCTTTGTAGATGATGTAGATGTAAAATAAATGACATTTTCCGTAGTTTTTACTTGATAACGGCTAGTCTTTTAGATTCACCAGGACGGCTGATTTACTCCAGCACTACTCACCACACGCTCCAATACCAGCGGGCTGGCAGCAGTGGCAGCACACTTAGTCCTGCTACAGGCGCTGCGGCTGCCGGCCCGCTTGTATTGGAATGCCCACTCGTCCCGGATTTATTGTTGTGGGATGAACCACTGCTGCTGGCCCGCTCGTATTGAAGCGTGCATCTGTCCTGCTCCTATTAGATCAAGCATGCTTCTGTTTTTGGCCACTATGCTCCTCAATTATAGGTACATTGTCATTTAGAAGCAGGGTTAGCAATGATTAAATAAAAATGATTAAATCATGTGATTAAATCACTTGATTTTTTATAAAAAAATCATGATTTTTTTTATTTTTTTTTATTTTTTTTTGATTTTTTCATATATTTAAAAATAGTGAGTGGCAGTCTTTAATTTATATTGAGGTATTGTTATTCATGGTTTAGTATAAATGTACTATGAGTGAGAAATTGATATATAAACTTGTTGCCTTTAGTGTGTATTAGGTTCCAATAAATGGAATTTTTTTGGCACAGAGGCATCAAGAGTGCAATACATTGTACGTAGCTAGCAGCTTAGCTAATTCTTATAAGGCTATAAGTAGTCTTAACTATTTGACTATTTGTTATATATTGATTACAATATACAATTTAAATGTGTTAGCTTTCTTATACAGGGTGGGGCAGAACTGATTGAACAGTTTTGAGGCAAAATAAAAGAGTAATGGAGGTACATAAAGAAGAAAGTTCATTTTCCTCATGATTAGCATAACATACCATTTAAAATACTTATGTTTTGAAAACAATATCAGGAAGATGGTGTCTGTTAGCTGCATCACACTGTTGGAGTCGTTCTCGGAAGTTTCCTACAGCACGTTCACACATATGGTGAGGTATGGCCATAATCTCTGCTGCAATAATATGTTCCCTTAGCTGTGGTAGGGTGTGAGGGTGACTTCTGAACACCCTTTCTTTTAGATGTCCCCAAAGAAAAAAATCGCAAATACTCAAATCAGGTGACCTTGCAGGCCACTGTAAATCACCCCTCAGAGACACCAGACCTATGGGAAACATGCATTTCAAAACATTGAGTGACATTCGAGCTGTGTGAGCTGTAGCCCAATCCTGCTGGAACCACACGTCTCTCAATGCTTCATTTTCAACAATGTTTTCCATCATGGGATGCAAGAAATTTTGCAACATTGCAGCATAGCAATTGGAATTCACTGTCATGGTTACTCCCTCCTCTGAGAATGACTCCAACAGTGTGTTGCAGCTAACAGCCCCCATCTTCCAGATATTGTTTTCAAAACATGAGTATTTTAAATGGTACGTTATGCTAACCTCTAGGAAAATAAACTTTCTTCTTTAGGTACCTCCATTACTCTTTTATTTTACCTCAAAACTTCTCAATTGGTTCTGCTCCACCCTGTATATTAAGAGGTTGAGATTGTATTGACCTTTTAGGCAATTAGAAAGATTTTCCACCCTAATACGAGTATTCTAATTAAAATATTTAATTTCAATCTTTAAATATGTGAATTTAAAACTAGAAACAAAACAACTACAATTATAAGACTATATATAAAATAATTAAATGCAGTGAATGGATAAAATATTTGAATTGTGCACATGTTTATTTCAAACAGTGTTAGCTTTTCTCATAACTCAAGTCTCGTTTCAAGAGGTATGAGGTTTGTTTGGTTATCGTTCAGTTTATGTTTAGTATTGGTTTATTGGTCTGAATTAAATGGGAACAGTGCAGTCAGTCTCTCAGTCACTACTAGTTGGTGTGTATAGAAGGTAGAGTCTGGTAGATTTATAGGACATAAAACTAGTAGATTTATTGATAGTGCTGTGCACTGTGCAATCAGCTACTTATCTGTTATGTGACTCTTCAATGTCTAGGAGATCTGCATTCCTGAAGTGTTTTTGTATATTGAAGCCAGTTAAATGGTCAATATTTAGCTCATTACCTTGCTCCATACAAACTTTACAAAGCTAATGAATAGACTTATCAATAATTGTTTACCCAAAAATCCCTAAGTGGTAAGCACCACCTTGGCCTGTTGGCCATTATTGAAGGCAATAAGTGCCCTTTTTAGCCATTCATTATGATCCATATACTGTTATCGTTAGTAGGCTAATTGCAACATAAAAAATAACACCTCAAAAAAAGACAAAAAAGCTGAAAAAATCAAAAAAATAAAAAAAATAAAAAAAATCATGAAAAAATAAAAAAAAAATCATCGATTTTTGATTTTTTTGATTTATTTAAAAAAAATAAAAAAAATCGCCAACCCTGTTTAGAAGGCATTTAAAATGCCACCCTACTGAGGGTGAGGGCTCTGATGTGACCGCAACTATGTTATTTCAAACTTAATGTTTTGGGTTGACTCATTATCATGACGTTATGCAGGATATTTTGGTGGGAGCGTTGTAGGACTGCAGAAGTTTAAAATTTCATGTAATGACACATTTGCCATGTGCAAACGGTGATTTTTTCAATCAAACAAAAATACATGACATTAAAGCCACCGGATTTCATAGTTCATACCTACCAAATTTGTATGATATTAGAGCAGGCAGCAGCAATATTTCAGATTTCAGAAGAAAGAAGGACTTTCCCCCATTTAGGCTGGTATCCATGATACTTCTTATTTGACTCAACAAGGAAGGTCAATGAAAGACATCTTGCCAGCCTGTCAGGTGGCAGCCTGGCAGGTCACCGTAGGTGCCACTATGCATGGATGATAGAAAACAGGTATTGTTATTTGTTATTCATAGTAATTGGGGACAAATTCATCTGTACAGGCTGTACCAGTACCACCATTTCTACAGCCCTTACACTTACAGACTGTTACACTGGCCTACTGCAGCATAGTGGGAAACCAGAGCTTTTTTAGAATCAGTTCATTTTTAATTTCCTCATTTACTCAAGATTTAAACCAATTTCTTAAGTATGATAATGCTGGTATCCAGGATACTTTACTGGTCTACTTATAAGACTCAAAAGTAAACTTGAGGGAGAGTCTA